TTCTTTTTTTTTTTTCTTTTCTTTTTTTTTTTTTTTTCCTTTTTGTCTTTTTTCGTGACCGGCAACGGGATCACAACCCTCAGTGTCGCGCCCGCACCACGCTCAACCAGTGAACGGACCGGTCTCTATATGGGATCCGAACCCTCGGCGGGAGCGCCGCCACACTCCCAAGTGCCGCACTCTACCAAGTGCGCCACCGGGCTGGCCCAAAAGAGACATCTTTTCACCAGTCATTTCTTTCCAATGTCTCTGTTCCGTAATCATACAGACTCTTGCTTCTGTACATTCCCCATTTCATCATTCTTCAGATCATGAAAACTGAATTTGTTGAACACCAGAAATCTGTTGATATGATGTTGTGTAAACCATAACGTTTTGTTGTTGACCATCTGCAGTTATTAAGCCAGCTGGTAACTGGTTAGTAAATGCCTCCTCCGTAAGCTCTTCAGTTAATCCATTTGTAGCTGTGACTGCTCCACCAATTCCTTTCTCTCCTTTCATAGCTTCTCTGAATTTCTGAAGGTATAATTTCAGAGGTTCCACATAACTGTCAAAGCCTAGGGTAGACATAGCAAAGAGAATATCCTCTCCATTGGTTGTCTTCTGTTTCTCTCGATGGCATCTTTCACTTGCTTCAGATGTTATAAAGCTGTTAAACTCACTTACACATTCTTGAACACATTCTTTGGCATCTTTTGCAATCTTTCCCGTTTGAGGTATGGCGTTTTTCATTTTCCTAGCCACATTGGCAATTGGAAGATATATATCTTGTTCTCTGAAACTTTCTTTTGAACCCTTTTTGTCTTCATGATCATTCATGCTGTCTTCAGTATCATCATGAGGCTGTATAACATAATGACTTCCTCCAATGTAGTCTGTGGAAATTCCTAGTTGAGAAGCATCTGTTGTAGAACTGTCACCGTCCATCTCCAGTGCAGCCCTGGTTGGCTCCCGTCTCCTGGAGACATTTTTGGTTGTCACATCTGGGAATGGGTGCTATTGGCATCTAGTAGGTAGAGACCAAAGATGCTGCTAAACATCCTACAATACTCAGGACTGTCCTCTACAAAAAGGAATTATCTAACCCTGAATTTTAATAGTGCCAAAACAGCTGGTAATGGGCCTGAGCCCCCCAAGTGTTACAGATCTCAGGGCCAGCCCTTACAGTTCTTACATGCACACACCCTGCCCAGGGTTCCAGCTGGCCCAGAAGGCCTAGAGAGGATCAGTTCCAGTGTTTGCCACCTCAGGGAATCTTGCTTCCTCTTTCTCCTTTCCCTATAGTCCTGCTTTTCTCTAGCCCTCCTAAGCTTATTTTAAGGCCCAAGCCCTTTCCTGCCACTGAACCATGGTTCACCTGATAGGTCTCCCTAACTTAGAACCATCTCAGGAGGTGGGCAGGGAGGGCGTCCACTTCCTCCCTAGCAACCGACTTGGTGGGATCAGAGGGCTTTTGCTCAACTGCAGGACAAAGGGAGCCCACATTTACACAACTAGGGGAGACTACTCCAGGGCCTTCTGAACAAGACCAGTAATTCATGGGAATTTTCCATCCCCAAGTTGCACCTCTCTTTCTCAAGAAAAAGAAAATGACAACAAAGGTGTTTTTAAAGTCTCTTTTAGGGTAACTTAGGCAGGCATTATTTTTTTGAGTGTACATTGGAGGTAAACAAAAAGTTACACAAAAATTCATTTGTCCACTTGTTCATTTATTGACCAGTACTTATTGAAGGCCCACTAAATGTCAGGCTATGTACTAGATTCTGGGGGATACAGTGGTTAAATAAGACAGTCAATGTCCCTGATCTCAGGGATGCTAGTGGGGGCCGGGAGAGGTGGAATACTGAAAAAAAGAAAAAACGTAGATGGGTACACAAAATAATTTCAGGCTGTAATAAGTGCTATGAAGAAAAAAATACAGGGTGATCTGATAGAAATTGTCTGGGTGAAGGGACTACACAAGATGAGGTGGTCAGAGAAGCCCTCTCTGAGGAGGTGGCTTTTAAGCTAAGATCTAAACACCAACAGAAAGTAGCCAACTATACCATGATCCTAGGAGAGGAAGTTCCAGGCAGAGGGAACAGCCAGCACAAAGGCCCTTAGGTAGAAGAGCTTGTTATATTTGAGGGCAGAAGAAAGAACAATGAGCTGGGGTGGGGTAGACAAAGAGGAGGGGGCAGGAGACCAGATCAGAGAGGTGAGTGGGGTCAAATCTTATAAGTCCACATGAGGCAGGATAAGGACTTTAGAATTTATTCCAAGGGCATTGGGAAACTAATTGGTTTTTATTAGTGATTCATGAACTCGGCAGCATCCAGAAAGAAGTCCAATGACCTGAGCAGAGAGGGTAGGTTTTATAGGCAGAAAAGGCTGAAGAAAGCAGAAACAAGAAACAAAAAGCAGATTAGCTGTTTCTTTCTTTCTTTTTTTTAAGGATGACCGGTGAGGGGATCTTAACCCTTGGCTTGATGTTGTCAGCACCACGCTCACCCAGTGAGCGAACCGGCCTTTTTTTTAAGGATGACCGGTGAGGGGATCTTAACCCTTGGCTTGATGTTGTCAGCACCACGCTCACCCAATGAGCGAACCGGCCATCCCTATATGGGATCCGAGCCCGGGGCCTTGGTGTTATCAGCACCGCACTCTCCCGAGTGAGCCACGGGCTGGCCCAGATTAGCTGTTTCAATGTTACTTTCTTTATGGGGAATCTTGTTGGCTTAATGGGATTTGGTTGTCATCTCTCTCCTGGTTTCTTGCAAGTTCAGGTAAACAGCTTAGGTTTTGGCTTGGTGATGTGGAACCTTATCATTTTGGGTTGGTCTGTTGGGGCCTAGTGCAGGAGCTCAGTTTAAAATCAATGCTTCCCATAAACTTTATTTAACATGGTAAAGGGATCTAGAATGTGCCACAGTGGCATAAGGATTATTTCTAGTTGCAGACCTTTGAGAATCAACAGATGCAGGAGGAGGCTTTTTCTGAACTCCCCTTATTTGCGTAAAAGCAGAGCTTCGCAAAAGAATTCAGTGGGCATAAATCCCCTCCCTGGGAGTTTCACTGCCATGGAAGATTGACTCCTACCAATAGAGACAAGTAATCATCTAAATAAACATTGTCACAAAACTATCATATCTCCCATCTATTTTTCTAAGGGCCCATTTATCTTTTCTAAAAGTAACTTGTTTTCCCAGTAAATGCCCTTCCTCCCCCCCCCTTTCCTTATCAAGATGATACATATGCCCCAAATTCTAACTGCCTCTTTGAGTCACATTTTTCTGTGAACTTGCCCATGTGTACAGAAATAAAAATCTGTCTTTTCTCTTGCTAATCTGTCGTTTGTCAGTTTAATTAGTAGGCTCCCAATCAAAGAATCTAAGAGATTAGAGGAAAAGTTTTTAATTAGTAGGCTCCCAATCAATGAATCTAAGAGATTAGAGGAAAAGTTTTTCCTCCCTGACAGTGGATGCAGAGAGCTCAGTGAAGAGGCTGTGGTTCCAGGGGAGACATGATGGTGGAGCTGTAGAGGAGTGAACGGATTTGTCATACATTCCAGCAGGAGATAACAGAACTTGCTGGTGGGTTCTGTGTGAGGAGCGAGGAAAAGGAAGAATCAAGACTGAGTCCTAGATTTCAGACCTGAGCAATTGGGAAGAGGATGTTACTTTTCAACGAGATGGGAAAGATGAAGAGAAGAGCACGTTTGCGGGGAGATAACCAAGAATTCTGGGTTGCAGGCTGCATGCGGTCTGAGGTGCTGCACCTGTACGGTGGTGGTAACCAGTTCAAACCAGCAATCAAACTCACAAGACACAATAGGCTTTAACGTAGTGCTACGTTTACTATGTTTTATAGAATGCAGGACAGAAAACATGACATGGGCGGTGTCTTCATGTTGTCGGAGGTCTAGCAGCTACTCAAGTACACGTCTTCTTTTGCCACACCGGGTCACTTTGACCCAGAGAAGTTGCAGCTTGGGTTTTCCACTGATCTTTTATTTTTTTATTTTATTTTTTATTTTTTTTTAAAGATGACCAGTAAGGGGATCTTAACCCTTGGTGTTGTTAGCAACATGCTCTCCCAAGTGAGCTAACCGGCCATCCCCATGTAGGGATCTGAACCCGTGGCCGTTGTCAGCCGGCCACGGGTTGTTGTCAGCGCCACACTCTCCCGAGTGAGCCACGGGCCGGCCGCGCCCGGGCATGCGCCCCGAGGACCTCCGTCTCACCGCGAGGACCGTGGCCAGCCGCTCGCACCCCTGCGCGGCGTCCCGACGCGGCCCGGTCAGCAGGGGGCGCAGCCAGCCGACCCGGCAGGGGCGAAACGCCACCGAGGGCCGCGTCCGCGCACGGGCCCTCCGCGCTGGCCGAACGTCAGCGGCCATGAGTCAGCGAGCCACCGAGAAGCGAAGACCTCCCATTTTCCTAGAGATAACAAGTGGGCGTTGGGGGCACGGGGGTGGGGTGAGTGGTGAAAAGATCGACCCGGAAGCGAAACGGAGGAAACTTCCGTTCTTTGTTCTGTGCCCGGTGTGTGGGTCTGTGACAGGGTCCAATCGGGCCTGGTCCGTGTCCGGCCACCTAAGTCTCCCGTCCCTGCCCTCAGGGTGAGTCCGGCCGTCCCCGGGACTCGCGGTGAGACGGAGGCTGTGGTCGCTGGGGCAGGGGGTGGTGTCGGTGTCACTGCGGCCCGCGGGGACCCCAGGCCCGCCCAGAGCAGGGTGCGGGGAGGCGCCCCACCGCCCCCGCAGCCGGTAGCCGACTCCGCTTACCTGGGACGCTCCCCTTCCCCAGCGGGACCCTGCGTTGGGAGGAGGAAAGGAGCTCCTGTTCTGGTTTTGTGACTTAAAACAGCGCCCAGCCCGAGCATTTAAAAGTTCCAGTGTAGCTGTAGAGGCGTCCCTCTCTTTGAAAACAGCCGATGACAGCGACTCTAACAGACTCTTTTATTTGATAGTAACACAGTTATTCGCGCCCGTTGGCAGGAGAAAATATTTATTTTTACTTAGCTGGGTCTGAGGACCAGAGAATGCGGAGTTCTGCCAAGTGTATGCAGTTGGAACTAGGGCTGGGAGGGAGTGCACGGATTCCGCAATAATCCCGTTGGAGCCCACTGAATCGAGCCTTTTTCAGGGAGTGATACAACCGGTCCTGGCTCCCATTTTCAGTTTTACTGGATCTGTAATTTGATCTGCTTTAGAAGCGGGATTGATCCCATTCCGGTATTTGCGCTCCGAAGGGCGTCTGTGAACTCCACGAGAGGATAGCAGGATGATGAACCTGAAGTCTATGGAATAATTAGAGGAACTGCTAAAGCTACTTGTTCCTTTAGAAGAGACGTTTGTGGAGAGGGCATCATTTGGTTTCAGGTGTTTGATGGACAGTCGTGTGAAGAAGAAGATTCTATCACTGAAGCTCCATAGGTCTCCGTGATGTGAAGCTCCTAGGGGATAGATTTTAGCTTCTCTCTGATGGCTAAGCTGTGCAGAGATGGAGCAGACTCCCTGCTGAAGTAGTTGAGAGTGCCTAGCAAGGTAGCTGACAGACCTTAGGAACTTGAGAAGGCTTTTATTACACTGGGTGGAGGCTGACCTGGAGAATCTTGAGTTCCTTTTCAACTCTCTCCAGGGTGGAACGCAAATGCCAATTGTAATCAGTATTTATTAGTGTATTTTTTTTTTATCTCTATCTAGATTAGAAATTAAGTTTACATGAATATGCTCTCTCTCTCTCTCTCTCTCTTTTTTTTGGTGGCTGGCCTGTAGGGGATCCTAACCCTTGACTTTGGTGTTAGAATACTGCTCTCTAACTACATGAATAGTCTAAATTCTTTCTTCTTTTTCTTTTTTTTAATTATACAGCATTAGCATCAACTAAAGTCACAATTCCCAGGAATTGGAACAGAGGCTGCCAAATTCCCAATAATTGCTACTTTGGCCTTGTAGGGACTAACTACAAAGAAGGAAGGAAAGAATCCAGCAGGTAAAGCGTTCCACTGCTTGTTCTCACTGCAAGGTCGTCTTCCTCGGTCCCCAGGAGCACTCCAGGGAGTGGGGTTGGCTGCAGAGCAGGGGAAGGGCCCTGCCTGGACCTGAAGCTTTGGGGCACAATGGAGAGTTTATTTCTATGAGAAACATTGTTTACTGATCCAAACACTGGGGGCTTGTTCTCAACAGTATGCCTTTGAGTTCCAGCTTTGCTTAACCCAGCCATGAGGAGGGGGCGTTGTCTTTTTCTCTGGAGTCAGAGCTTTTAACCTGCTTTTCTAAGGAGAGTTTGTACTGACAGCTGACTTGTTCGGGATGTCTGCCCATAAACAGTCATGGAAATTGTAAAGGTGGCTGATAAGATAAAAAGACAGCTTGCTCTGAGACAGAGTTGAAGGGACCTCGCTGGGAGGGTGATGGTGGCAAGAGGGTGTGTCACCTTGGTTGCCAGTGGGCCTGGCTCATGTCCGATTCTGTGCTTTCCACCACGTAACAGCATTGCTATTGGGCATTTTGTACACCTTTGTTGCCCAAGACTAGAGTTCTCTGAACTTTCCAGTGACTTTCAGGGCCCCTTCCCCTTTTATGCCTTATGTGAATGTAACAGTCTGTAATGATGAAGGAAATATGTTTTGCATTCCTGATTTTTTTTACTCCTTTAGTAGTGCTTGCAATATAGTTGGGACTCAACAAATGTTTGTTATATAAGCAAATGAATAAATAGAGGGAGACAGATATAATCCAGGGGTCTTTTTCCTCAGGCTCTTACGTAAGTGTAAGGATACTTTGGTGGCTGCTGGACCTATTCTAGATGTATTGATCTTGCCACAGCATTCAAGTGTGAAGTAGAAACTTCTACTTGAGATCCAAACCTTAGTCTAAGTACTAATATTACATTTAATCCGCTAGAGCCACAGAGAACTCTTAACTATGGTAGCAGCTGGGGAGTGGAGACTTTAGTAGGGATTAAAAACAGAGTAATAATTGTATGTTTTTAAAAAAAATATTGGTCTGTGCTTCAGGGACTTAACATTCTGATCCAAGGAAATGTCTTATGAAAAAAGGGCGATAAAAGAAGTCTGCTACCTTCTCAGTGAGAGGAGATGCAGCACCTGGGCTAGTTCTTTTATCCTGGTGAATATATACACCCACTTTTTGTTGTTATTTATCACTCTTAAATGTGCAGGGGGAGCCAAAGGTGGGATATTGTTGAGAAACTTTGCCCCTTTTTGTGGTCCTCATGGTAGTTTCATGACAGGGAGTAGGTGTACACATTCACTAGGATCTAAAAGCTAGTCCCATTTGCTGTGTTGCCTCTCACTGTTCTTGGGTACTAATTGAAATGCTAAGTCCCCTCTTTTTGTGTTCAGGAGGTTTTTTTGAATTGTCTTTTGCTCTTCCAGTGCTTCCTCATTCTCATTCAAAACCTGCTTCCTGCTGAGTCTGCGGATAGCTCAGAGGCCAGAGCATCTAAGCCTACCCATGGAAACTCAGGCTGATCATGTATCTCAGGAACCTCAGGCCCTGCTTGAGAGTGGTGAGGAACAGTGATTCATTCATTCTTTGATTCAGTCATTCAGCAGTCATCTATTGAAATGTCTCATTCACTGGATGCTAGGCTAACTACTAGACATTCAGCACCTCACAGCCTCGAGGGGAAGGCTTACTGAAACCAATAATTAATGGACAGCTTGGTAGATTTTATAACTGAGGTATTTTTGAAGGGCAGATTAAGAAAACTACAACAATCACTGAATTCCATTTTTTTAGGCACTCTGTAACAGCTGACTTCACAGTCATAGTTTGTGCTCTTTAGGAGCTTGCTCTTATAAGAGGCTCTTGGGAATCCTTTTGTAGGTCACAGGCAAAAGATTAAAATGGATAGGAAGTCACTAAAGTATATTTTGCTTTCATAGACTGCCACTGATTGGAACCAATTTCATTCTTAATGGGTGTTCCTGTGCTTATCTGGAAAAAGCTTTTAAGGCCTTTTTGGTCTGGGTGATTCAACAGATCTAGTATCTAGTGTTCTAGAGTCTCTAAGAGACAAATCTGTCAACTTAAGAATTACAGAAAAAGATATGTGATTAAACACTGAAACAGCAAACATCAGTAGCATATAGATTTGATCAGGGGATAGAGAAAAAGGAGATTAGGAATTCAGTCAGGGCTGGGGTGAAGCTGCTAGTTGTCCTCTGGTCTAAGAACTTCACACAAGAGTTCTAGTTCAGAGATGTGGAAGGATGATGGCAGGGATATGAGCAAGATAGCCTGTTCCTGGCCAGGCTTGGGAGAGTGGACAAGGATACAGTAATCACTAAAGATAGGACTAGGCAGTTTCACTAAGAGAAGAGTGACTGGAGAGAAGGGAAGGGACTGGGATGGATTGGAGGCCAAGATTTAACAGGACCTTGGCCATCTCTCCTCAGGCAGGATGGACCCACGTTGAATGTGCCTCTGTTATGTACCTTTAGTAGCTGCTGAGGAAGCAAACTTAGAATGTAGGAGGGAGTGGGTCCTAGGATGTCTCAGCAGTGTGTGAGCTTTCTGTGGATTGGGTAGTCATCGGGTTGGGAGGCCAGAGAGCAGATAGACTCACTCCTTAGCCCTTTTATTGTCCTTCAGCTCTTCCTTCTTCAAAAGTTCCTGCCTTTTCCGACAAGGACAGCCTAGGGGATGAGGTGTTGGCAGCTGCACTCCTAAAGGCCAAGTCCCAGGTGAGCTGTGGTTTCCTTCATCCTTTTCCTTCCCATTTTGTGGACATCTTTTGGCAGCAACATCTCATTCAGTGCCCTGAACCCTGATTCCCTCCATCAGGACCATGGTCCTTTCCTGTCGAATAATGCACCTTTACCTTCTGTCTTTCTCTCTTGTCTCTCTTCCCTGCCCTCCTTTCCTCACTTCCTGATTATACATTATTTAGCCCCATCAAGAGTTACTTTTTTGGTGCAGCTAGTCCCATCCCTCACTCTGAAATTACATGCAAGAATGTATTGTTTCAGGAGTTGGTGACATTTGAGGATGTGGCTGTGTACTTCATCCGGAAGGAGTGGAAGCGTTTGGAACCTGCTCAAAGGGACCTCTACAGGGATGTGATGCTGGAGAATTATGGGAACGTGTTCTCACTGGGTAGGGAGTTACACCTTCCCCACAAAACTCCCTGGTGTTCCTTTGCTTCCTTGTTTGCTAGTAACAATCTCGTCACTGAAAAGAGTTAAGGATTGACTTAGTCTTATAAAATTCTAACAACAATAATAACCATAACTCATGTTTGTACAATAATTTGTAGTTTATAAAGAGTTTTCGTATATGTTCTCTCATTTAATCCTCACAGTAACACAGTAATTGAGGTAGGTAGTGCCATCCTCATTTAATAGGTGAGGAAAGTAAGGTCAGAGATTTCATATGCCTTGTCCATGTTCGCAGAGCTGGTGAGTGGCAAAAGTCAAATCCCAGTCTTTTAACTGTAAATCTGGTACTTTTTCCATGTTATTCTCAGGAGTTAATATTTAATCTAGAGACTTTTCTGAAGCACTAGTGTGTTGGGATCCCTGAACACGTGAGGTTCTACTCTGCCCAAGTGAACATTCTGGGACTCTGTTTACCTCTTCTCTTCTCTGTTGGGTTACCTCTAGGGACCTGTTTATTTGTTTAGGACCTGCTGCTCTTGTGGAAATTTAAACTTGTTTTAAGGAGAAATTAGCTTCTTAACCTTTATGATGTGGACTGTTAATTCCTTGACTCTCACCCCACTTTTAGTGAAAACATTTTCCCAAGCAGGGAGTCTTTCTAACTCTCATTCGAGACCTCCCTGTGCATTTTCTTTCTGTCCCCTGCAGATCCTGGGTTTGAGATTGAGCTCTGGGACCACTCAGTATGAACAGGATAAACCTCCTTGTCCCATGTCTCTCCCCATGAGCAGGATTCCCATTTCTGAATCTTGACACAATCTCTCAGCTGGAGGGAGAGGATGAGCTGAGGTCCTGGGTTTGAAGGGAACTGAGAACAGAGAGGTCCTGAGAGGTACCTGTTCAGGTGAGGGAGAAACAGCTGTTTCTGTCCCTAACACTCAATGCCCTGTCTTTACTTTAAAAAATATTGATAAACTAAAGATGCTAACTGTCTGGACCCTTTACACTTATCCTTTCTGCCTGAAGTTCCCTTGAGAAACTCCGAAGTAGTGAAAACAGAGAAGTCAAACACTGAGATCGTTTGCATAGCCTCACATACAAGCACAGCCTTCTAGGCCGTGGGCCCAGAGGTGGACTGAACTCTGTCTTGCCTGTTTCCATGGGTGTGGCACATGTGGCATGACTACACACATGATTGTTCTTCTCATGGGGGTATGGGGTCACTGCCATCCTCACCCTTCTTGCTCTTTTAGCTCTGCTGCTGTTTCTCATCACCCTTCTCCGCTTTTCTCACCAACTGTCTAGTTCACTTTCTTGTATTTGCTCTCCCCTGACATTCTAAAACTGTTCTTGCAGTCACCATCTCCCCAGTTACATCTACAGTCTCTGACCTCTCTGAAGACTGTGACTTCGTTAAGCAGTACGTCCTTCCTGTGTTCATTTCGGTTCCCTGAATCTCTGCCTGATTCACCTTCCCCTCCTTACATACTCAGCTTTCTCTGTACTTTCAGCTCTTTTCTCCTTGATTTTTCTTCATGCCTTTCTCCTTCCCTGTTCCTTTAGCCCAGTTATCTTATTTTGTCTTGGCTACACACACACACAAGGCAGGCCTCTTTGCAGGCGTGTAAGAGGCATGTGTTTTTTGCACTATAAATATTACTCACGTAATTATCTTGTCCTCTGATTTTTATTCTTCTACAAGAAACAAGTGACATTTGCATTTTTTATTGTGCCAGATGGTGAGACCAGAACTGAAAATGATCAAGAAATTTCTGAAGATACAGGATCACATGGGATGCTATTGGGAAGATTCCAAAAGGATATTTCTCAGGGTCTTAAGTTTGAAGAAACCTATGAACGTGAAGTCAGTCTAAAGAGGCAGCTGGGGAACTCCTCTGGAGAAAGACTGAATAGAAAGATACAAGATTTTGGTCAAGTGGCAGTTGAGGAAAAGCTAACCCCCATGGGTGAGAGAAGCGAGAAATATAATGATTTTGGGAACAGCTTCACTGTGAGTTCTAACCTCATTTCACATCAGAGACTTCCTATGGGAGACAGACCTCATAAGTGTGATGAATGTAGCAAGAGCTTTAATCGAACTTCAGACCTTATTCAACATCAGAGAATCCACACTGGGGAAAAACCCTATGAATGTAGTGAGTGTGGGAAGGCCTTCAGCCAGAGCTCACATCTTATTCAGCATCAGAGAATCCACACTGGGGAGAAGCCTTATGAATGTAATGATTGTGGGAAGACCTTCAGTTGCAGCTCTGCTCTCATTCTACATCGGAGGATCCACACTGGGGAGAAGCCTTATGAATGTAATGAGTGTGGAAAAACCTTTAGCTGGAGCTCCACCCTTACTCACCATCAGAGAATCCACACTGGCGAGAAACCCTATGCTTGTAATGAATGTGGGAAGGCCTTCAGTAGGAGCTCCACCCTTATTCATCATCAGAGAATCCACACTGGAGAAAAACCCTATGAATGTAATGAGTGTGGAAAGGCCTTCAGCCAGAGCTCACACCTCTATCAGCACCAGAGAATCCACACTGGAGAGAAGCCCTATGAATGTATGGAATGTGGAGGGAAGTTTACCTATAGTTCAGGCCTTATTCAGCATCAAAGAATCCACACGGGGGAGAATCCCTATGAATGTAGTGAGTGTGGGAAAGCCTTCAGGTATAGTTCAGCTCTTGTTCGCCATCAAAGAATTCACACTGGAGAAAAGCCTGTGAATGTAGTGGGTGTGAACAGAAGTTCCCTCAGCGTTCCTGCTGAAGTAAATATCAGAGAGTCTACATGAAAGAGCCACACATCTGTTTTCCTCATTTTCCCTGAGTTTCAAGGGCTTTTGCCTTACTATTTAAGTGTGAACAACTTAGGGTGTGTCCCTTCCAGCTTGAATCTTCACTTTAGAGAATGGGGCAAGTTGGGCAAATCAGCCTGGCACATTGGTCAGCAACTTAGTGAATTTCCTCAGGAGTGATTCCAGCTTTCAGATGTGAGGGAAGCAGCAGATTAAGTGCTGGGAGTAGAAGGAAGCTCTGGGACCGTTTGGGAAGGGAGTTTGCACTAAACCATTTTTCTCACACCAGAAGAGCCTTTCTTTCCAAGGTGAGGGTGGAAGCACAGTAGGAACAAAATTCCAAGGTTTCCTCTAGTTGGAGTCAGTATAGTCAGCACAGAAGGTAGTGGAAAGAATGTTCTGTGTCCTGTTATTTGTTAGGAAGGGGAAATGGAAGCTGTACAAGTTTCAAAGCCACTATTCCTAATCCAGCTTTAAGTTTTGATAAGAAATGTGCTGTTTTATGATTTCATTAATTATGGGAATTTGGTGCTGAGGGAAGCAGGGAGGAAAGACCCCAAAAAGGTTTTCTCTGATGACTGTATCCTTTAGGGCTCTTGGAGCAGCAAGACCACATTTTCCAAGAGCAACCTGACAATATTGTAGCAGACTCTTGGTCCTCCCCTGTTGTAAAGGGGCTGACTGGGAAATCCATCTAATCAGCGAGTAACCTGAGGGAGACGATCAGAAGCCTGTAGCATTGGCCTCTGATTCCTGCCCTTCTCTCTCCCTCTTCTGTTCCCACTCCTGTGATGAAAAGTGATTTAATCCAAACCTTTAGTTACTAAGGATGTTTTCAAAGAGCTCACTCAGCCAGCTTGCCCTGCCCTCTATCACCTCTGACATCTGGCCCCAGCAGCTGGACTGCTCCTGACTCCACTTCTGACTCTCCAGCAGCCAAGGATTAATGCAGATAAAAGAGCAGAGCCCAGAGAAGGAAGGCTGTGCCCTGAGCCTGGCAGCAGGGCTCCTTGCTGGGTTGGGATGGAGCTCCCTGAGTTTTTCCAGCTGAAGGGACATCCTTCCATTGTGTTTCCCCAACCCTGCTCATCCCGTAGCATAAATGAAGTGCACTATTAAACAATAGTTTTTCAGAAGAGAGATCGAGTGTGTTTTTGTGCAGGGACCAAATTTATTTCAGTTAACATATTAGTGATTATAAATGGAATTTGAAAATTTACCTTTAAAAATTTTTTNCAAAAAATAGACAAAAAAATAAAAATAAAAATAAAAATAAAAATTTTTTATAGACAACTATTTCTCTTCTAGTCAAACATGAGACTTCCCTTTCCCTCGAGGCTCCGTCATTTCTCCCTAGATACTACTACATAGTCTCAAATCATTTACACAGTCACTCCCACCTTAATACCCACTTTTAGGATTTTATGAGCTGCAGACCATTCTGAATGCTACGATACTTAAAACAACTGACAGCAAACAAAACTAGAAAGGTATTATTGGGTATGGGGTCTCTGGCGAGAGTACTTGGTTGTTGAGTAGCAATGGGCAAATTTAGATTTCTTGGTTTGGCCATCTATAGGTGGATGTTAACAGCCCTGGAGAAGGCTAGGATGTAAATCTGATGGAGAAATTGAGAAAATGTCAAACTCTGACCTCTGAAAAATTTCAGATTGTATATTGAGATTGACCACCTAATATATGTTTTTAATTTTACAGAACTTTAATGAAACATTATTTTGGCTCTTCTCTAAGATTTGCCACATACTTGCAGATGGACTTTGTTTCGCAAAGTGTTGACCATGAACTATACATTAGAATCACTAGGCTGCTTGTTAGTAATGCAGGTTTCTGATGCCCAAATCAGACTTGAATAATTTCTGGGGATAGAGTCTAAAAGTATACGCCGAGAAGGAGGAAATAATAATGGGATAGAGAAAATTTCTGGAAGGATATAAACTTGAGCTGGGTCTTAGAAGACAGGCTATATGTGGTAAAGGAGAGGAGGTGCCAGGCAGGGCAGCTTGGGGGAAGCCTGAGCATGGCCACTTATGTGGAGGCTCACGTGGAGTTCTGGGAAAGGTCCAGTGTGAACAGGTAAGAATGGCCACTAAACAGGAAGGATCAGCCCCTTCTTTGCTCACACGTTGAAGCACTGAGACCAAAACCCTCTAAAAGGACCTCGTGACTGACTCCTTAAGAGTGAGTGGGGCCTGAGACTGATCGGAGTCACTGAATGAAAAATGTTTTCTAAAATAACTCTAAAGCTACTATACCATTTACCTCACCTGATTCTGCTACAGGTCATTCCTATTTCCAACGATGATGATTCTTTTCTCAATCCCCAACTGGTCACTGAATGTTCAGTTGTGGTATCAGTCTGTCTCTCCTCTGTCTATGCCATTGTCCTTGAAACCCAATTATTCCCAAGGTTTCAACTAGGTGTCATCTCTACACAAACAACTTAAATCTGCATGTGTGGTACTGATCTCTCTCCCAAGCTCCAGTCTTGGGTCTTCAGTAGACTCAGAGCATTTACACTTGGATGTTTTACAATTTCAAATTATGTTTCAAAGCAGATACATCTTTTCCATTTATTGCCCCCCCCCCCAAACCGCCCCAAATCTCTAAACCTCTCAGGGTCAAAATTTATGAGTTTTCTTTGTGCTCTTTTACACCTAACCAGTGTCAAGTCCTAGGGAGATAGAGCAAGCATGGAGTGGGAAGATGGAGATTGTCAGAAGAGAAATTTCAGAGTTGGGGTTGTGGAGGAGATGGAATTTCCAAGAGAGGGTAGGAGTAGTTGACACATGGCATATACTCTATGCCAGGCTTGCCTGGCCCTTTTCCAAGTGGTTTTCAAAAATTTGATGATATATCAACATATTTCATATATTAATACAACAGCCTGTTTGAGGCAAGTGTTAGTATTATCCCCATCTTACAGAAAAGGAAACAGAATTGAACTTGCTCACTGACATATGACAATGAGATCAGAGAATGGAAGACCTCCCCCAGTTGCTGTACTTGGTGGGAGGCCAGATCACATGGCCTGGATGGCTTGGGTGTGAGGTGGGGAGCATGTGTGAAGAAGGGTAAACCTCATCCAGGCAATGGTCCTGTCGATTATGATTCCGCAGACTTCTTCATAGTTTTCCTCCTATTCATTTCCACTGCTGCTAACCCTAGAGGTCAGGTTCTATTACTTCTCTCCTGGATTATGTAAGTGGTCTCCTAATGGATTAATACCTCTATTTTCTGTCAATCTCCCTGAAGCACTATGCCAATCTTGTCCCTCTTTTATCAAAAAATTTCATAATCTTTTCCTTCTTGTAGAGTAAAAGTCCAGGCAGTCCTTGAGCTGATCTCTACACATCTCTGTAGCCTTGTCTCTTACTGCTCTTCTTCAGACGTTAAATAACAAAATGATATCAAGGCTCCATACACATCCCCCATTCATGTCCATGAGTTTGTTCACACACAGTGTTCCCATGTCCTCCTGCACGTCCAGTCAATAAAAATCAGAGTCAAAGAGGGCCTTAGGAACCATCTTGTTTAACCTGCCTGGTACAGACACTGTCAGCAGTATCCCTGAGAAAAGGCTGTCTGTTCTCTGTTACAGCATCATCAGGGATGAGAGGTGCCTGGTTGCACAGGGCAAAAACAGGCAGTTCCATTGCTGGGTGTTCTAATTGCTGGAAATTAAGTTGAGCTGAGTTCTACCTCCTCATGAATTCCACTGTTAGTTTCTAGTTTTGCCTTCTCAAGAAACAGTGTAATCATCTATAAAATAAGAGGGATGGAAGAGATTTCCAAGGGCATTGTTTTGTTTTGTTTTGGTGGCTGGCCTGTATGGGGATCCAAACCCTCAACCTTAGTGTTATCAACCTCGCGCTCTAACTAACTGAGCTAACCCGCCAGCCCCCAGGGACATTTTTGACACAGCAAAAAGAATTTCATTCCTAACACCTCCCTGCATCCCAAATCATGCCTGTTCTTTGAGATCAATTCAAATGATTATGAGAAAGGATATTATGTGATAAATTTCCAACTAGGGGCAAAGCCCCGTTTTACCTGTACATTTCAGGTAACAGAAGTATACACTATGGTGGGTGGAGAAGAGCATCTTAATGAATTGTTTCTTTTTAGTGAAAAGATTGCTTTTAAAAGCTCCCCAACTTGTTTTTTTTCATAAATTTCTTATAGAGTTTAAATTCTTTCCACTTCAAAAAAATAAAGGAAAGCCCAGTTAGGTGCATTGTTTTAAATATGTCAGCAATGGAGAACTGAAGATTGTGAAATGTGTAAAATCTTACGTGGACTACTTTCTGCATACAGAGATAAATATGGTCAACAGAGTGGTTTTTCCAGGAATGACAAAGGATTCTTACTATTTTCCTACACAAGCGTCTTTTCTCTTGTGTATTTCCTGATTTGGTTGCTGACACCAACTTCCCAGTCAGCCAAGCTAGAAACGTGGGAATTGTTCTGGATGTATGTTTCTCTCCATCTCCTCACCCCTACAGCTTGTCAATCAGTATCTATCCAATTCTTGCTTCCTCATTCCTGTGGCTCCTGTGCTGGCCTAGGCCATTCTTAACTTGTTCTGGGACTTTGGCACCAACCTTACAGCAGGTCTCTGCTGCATTCTTTTCCTTCAATCCACTCTTCAGACTTGTGCAAATGAGTTATCTCCCTAAAATGCAAATTGGTTGACACCACCTCAAAACCTTTCAGTGGCCTGTCTCACCCCCTAGGTCAAAGTCCACATTCTTTATCATGACACACTGGGCTTTTCATTTCCCATCCCTGCCTGCTCCCTGCTCTTTCCTCTCAGTACTTCCCCTCCCACACACATAACCCTGGAGCGCTGCAGAGTGAGACACAGTCACAGGGACCCAAATGCTGTGTACTGCCTCTTTGCCTTTGCACATGCTTTTCCTTCTTCCTGAACGCCCTCCCCTCCTGTCCACCCAACCAACTCCAAACCAACTCCTATTCGAAATCTTGTTGTAAGCTTCACCTTTTCCTTCTTTCTTTTTTTTTTTTAAAGATGACCTTTTCTGTGGAGCCTCCCCAGGCCTCTGTGCAGGCCACCTTCCACCCCCACCAAATGAATTGTGTCCCCCGAGTGTCCTCTGTGCCTGGTATACCCTCTCATTATTGTGCTTAAGCCCCATCTGTTACTTAGTATTTGTACCTCTGATTCCCTCACTGTGATGGGCTTTCCCCCTACATTTTCACATTTTTCTATCATATATATTAATTTCATAATCGGAAAAAAAAATATTATTAAGAAAAAGATTAAAAAGTAATGAAAAGTAGCACTTTAGAGGTTAACTCATTTAATCTTCATAATTCCATGAGGTGGGTACTATTATTCTTGCCCCCATTTTTATTTCCTTTCTTCAGGAAAGAAGGTAGGAAGAAAAGGAGGGAGAGGGGGAGGGGAATTCATCAGGCGCACAGTAACTAGTGCATGAGATTCAGACGCATTTGGTGCCCAAAGTCCAGGCTACATCTACCTTCTCACACTATCCCCAGACCACCAGGGAGGGTCCTAGCCCCCTCCTCAAATACCTGTCTCCTCTCAGTGACCCTTGACGCTCTTCAACAACAGTTCAGTGAGTAAGAACTTGTAGGAAATACAAAGATGAACCATGGTTCCTGCACTGAAGGAGGCTGTGGTCTAATGGGAGACATCAGGCCTGTGTTGATAATAATACAATAATATTCATAATGATTTTTACTAATTGCTTACTCACATGCCAGGCAGCGTTCTAACTTGTCTTCACAACATGTATTGTCTTCACAGTGATCTAATCAACTGAGCTAACTGGCTACCCCACCTACCAAGAAGTTTTACAACTTCACTGGGGAGAGAAAACCAAGGAAATGCCTAGACTTAAGAATTTGCAAATAATCCTATGTGAAGTTTTTGAGGCTAGAGGGCAATTAGGGAATAACACTTTGGGAAAGCAGGTCTTTAGCTGGGTCTGATAGTGGAAGCTAAGATAGAAATGGAGGTCCCATTCTGACACAGGAAGACCTGCATGGATTAGAAGGGCTTTGACAGACGTGGTCCTTGACGAATGTGAATAGGATTTCACCAAACAGAAAGAGGGAAGAACATCCCAAACCAAAGGATACCAGAAGCAAAAGCAGGGAATCACAAAGTTATCCCTGCCTGGACAGGCAGGAATCAAGATAAGAATATTTAGCCAGAAACATGAAATACCACTCCCAGCCCTCCCTTGTGGACATTTTGGTGTGTGATAAGGTTTGAACTTCAGAGGAAGGCTTTCTCATAGACATTGCACTTATAAGGTTTCTCTCCAGCATGGATCCTCTGATGTATAAGACTTGATTGCTGATAGAAAGTTCTCCCACAATGAACGCATTTATAAGGTTTCTCCCCCATGTGCATCTTCTGATGTGTGGTCAGACTCAATTTCCGATTGAAGGTTTTTCCACAGTGACTGCATTCATAAGGTTTCTGTCCAGTGTGGAATCACTGACGTTTGGTGAGATCTGTGCTAAGATGAAAGGTTTTCTCACACTGATTACAGGAATAGGGTTGCTCTCCAGTGTGTATCCACCTATGTTGAGAAAGCCAAGAGAACTTCTGAAAGGCTTTTCCACACTCAAATTTATATGGTTTCTCTCTAGAACAAATTCTCTGATGTACCATAAGGTTAGAGTTCTGCCTGCAGTGTTTTCCACCAGTAGCACATCTAGATTAAGAGATTTATTGCAAGGAAGTGGCTCTGTCGATGGTGGGGGCTGCTAGGTAAGTCAAGTCCGGAATCCGTAGTCAGGCCACCCGGAAGGGCAGGCTGGAGCTCTCAGGCTCAAGCTGCAACTGCTGCCCACAGGTAGAATTTCTTCTGGGAGACTTTGGCTCTGCCTTTCAGCTGCTTGAATCAGTCCCACCTATTGGGTCTCATGGCTGGCTTAGCTTCAGGGCAGACATGTTGAGTGGCTTTCCACCTTTCCTCCCCCTTTCCCTTTTCTCTCTGGGAACTGAGATTCCTCTCCTGCGAAGGGGTAAACATTACAGTTATCACCAAAGGAATGTCTCGTGGGCTACATTTAGCAGGCTTCAGTTATGATGAGGTAGATCGATTTAGCTTAAGCCATTTTTACCTTTTGAAAAGTGTTCTTGTTTGAACCCCACCCCCCCCCAACACCTGTGGTGAAAATTGAAGGTTAAAAATTGTCCTGTACTTAGAAAAATTTTAAATTCTATCTGCCTTTGCTGTTTCCTGCCTATGCTGTCCCTGACTGATAAAACCAAGAGCTGTATCTGGATGTATCTAGACAACCTAAGGAGGAAACCGCCCTGTGGAAGTTTTTGCCGTCCCTAAGTGATTAACTGGCTTATCTTGGCTTCTGTAACCAGCTTGCGCTAGGCCTCGCAAAACCCCCTCCCTCCTCACACTAGGAGGGAATGTGTGACTATATGATAACTTTGACTGTGTGACTATATGATTTTCTTGCCTGTGTGACTATGTGCCTTTAAAAGACCCCTTAAAATTAAACTCAGGGCTGTTCTCTTACCAGAATATCTGCAGACACAGTTGCCGGCTGGCTAATAAAGACCCCCTTTTTAAATTCTCAGTTGAATGTTCTGATTCCTTTTCTGTGTGACAGCCTCACAGCACACGCTGGAATGCTTTGTACTGAGATAGTGGCTAATCAAGAACCTATGCCCTAACCAACCAGATGTTATCAGACCACAAGGGCTGTGTCACCTTGCACACCACTGATTTCAAAATTACCCACTACTGGGCCGGCCCGGTGGCGCACTGCTACAGTGCGCAGCTTGGGAGTGTGGTGGCGCTCCCGCCGAGGGTTCGGATCCCACATACAGACCGGTTCCCGCTCACTGGCTGAGCGAGGTGTGGGAGCAACACCGAGGGTTGCGATCCCGTTTCCGGTCCCGGTCCGGTATGGGCATGACACTGAGGGTTGCGATCCGTTGCCGGACACGAAAAAAAAAAAAAAAGACAAAATTACCCACTACTGGGCCGGCCCGGTGGCGCACTGCTACAGTGCGCAGCTTGGGAGTGTGGTGGCGCTCCCGCCGAGGGTTCGGATCCCACATACAGACCGGTTCCCGCTCACTGGCTGAGCGAGGTGTGGGAGCAACACCGAGGGTTGCGATCCCGTTTCCGGTCCCGGTCCGGTATGGGCATGACACTGAGGGTTGCGATCCGTTGCCGGACACGAAAAAAAAAAAAAAAAGACAAAATTACCCACTACTCTGTCAGAACCCCCTGTAATGTTCTTATAAACCTCCTGCTTTCCTTGGTTTGGAGGAACTGATCTGGATCAGTCTCCCCTCCATATTAGTGGAATAAAGCTTTCAGCTGAAATGGCACCTTGCTCGGGTCTCTCTCTCTTCTCCATCTCACCGAACCTAACACCACCCAGATTACTAGGAATATCTCACTTACTTAAAGTCAATGATTATTGAAAGAAAGTGAGCCAAGATGCTGGGTACTGTTCAAGCTTTATTAAAGAAAGAAATCTGCTGGGCTGTACTCAAAATGAAGGACAGCCCGGGGCTGCCCTGAAAATGGGGGACAGCGGCAACAATGGGTTTGCAAGAGTTTATATTAGCTTTTGGGTGTGAAATGTACCAGGGGAGGGATCATTAGGTTGATGTAACTGGGTGGAGAACTGTGCTGATGCAGAAGCCGGAAAGTTGTTCCTAAGTCAGGAGGCTTCTCGTAAAGGGAAAGGGGGGAGGGACTTGGTGCTGGAGTGGAAGATGAGGCCAGTGGCTATTTCGTGCTGGTGCTTATTGTGTGCACAATGGCGCCAGCCACATCCAAAATCCATCAATTATGAGGTTTAATCACATCGACAAAATACTCATCACAGCAACACGGAGAATAGTGTCTGAATGATTGGGGACTGTAGCCTGGCCAAGCTGACACATAACCGCCACTTTAACCTTACAGATGTACCTGCTTTATCCCTGCTATTTGCTTTGCTCTTGTTTGTGTCTCCACTTGAACAGAAGCTCCAGAGATTTTGTTTTGTTCCTTGATGTATCCATAGGCCTAGAAAAGCACCGGCAGATGTTCAATAAATAGTAACTGAATAAATGAATGTGCAGTCTTTCACATGATGCTGAGCCTCTGCTGTAACACCGAGACACTTTTTGAACATTCCCAGACCCCCTGAACCCCATGGCCAGTGACCAGGACCACCCTCGTGTACCCAGACACTTTTTGAACATTCCCAGACCCCCTGAACCCCATGGCCAGTGACCAGGACCACCCTCTCTGAAACCATCCCTTTATCTCCACACAGGCTGACCATTAGACAAAACCTCTCTGGTGGCAGCTTCCCTTCCCTGGTTCCTAACCCTATCTAGCCCTTGTCACCTCTCCCACGTGATAGTCCTTCCAAATTTTTCATGACAGCTCTCACACCTCTGCTGACTCCCAGCTCTAACTGCCTTTGTATGCACAGGGACCCCAGAGCTGCCACCACACCCCCCTCCCTGCTGGGCTGGTCCCCAAACCCCATAAAAGGGCCCCATCAGGGCCGGACCCTGTGTCTTGGGTGTCCTATGGATCTCTGGGCAGCTGGGGATGTGCTGTTGAACTCAAAATGTGATAAAGTCCTGGTGGAATTGAGAAAAAATTTAATCCAACCAGATCCTTGAACTCACGGACACTAACTATCAAGTCATTTCCTACTTCTCTTGATTTCACGGTCTGTTTTCAAGGTGCTTTTCCACATTCAGAACAATCATAGGGTTCTCTCTAGAATGAATTCTCTGATGTACCATAAGGTGACCGTTCTGCCTGAGGGTTTTCCACAGTCTCAGCCCTTCTCCCCAGTATGGATTTTCCCACGCTGAGTAAGGGCCGTGTTCCCAGTGAATGCCTTCCTGCCTTCCCTCACTTACAAAGGGCTTCTCTCCAGCATGTTTTCTCATATGCGTTGTAAGGTGGGACTTCTGATGGCAGGTGGGGCAGGTGTTCCCACCATCTCTACGTATGTAGGATTTCTTTACTCTGGGGATTTTCTGACAATTACCAATGGCTAAGCAACCCAATTTATCTTTCTTACAAGCTCTTTCTTCTTGTGGAACGTTGCCATTCCTGCCAACTTTCTCATTTTGGTAGGCTTTTTCTTTGATAGGGGACTTTCTAGGGATGACTGTTACTGTGCTAGAATGTAACCTGGAGGAAGGGAATACTTCCCCCTCTGTCTTGTGGACTTTTGCTCCTGTGTTTCTAAACAGCTCATAGGTTTATAGGATTCTTCTAATCTTCCATTCAGATCATATCTGTTTCTTCACAAATACACCACCCTGAAGTACTCAGCTCATTCTTGGTTGTGAACTTTGGTCTAAGATAATAAATAGAAAAAGCAAATTTCATTCATCTCTGTGGTTAGGAAAAGAAGCATTCTACAAAAAGACTAGATGATCTGCAAGACGAGATAAAAGCAGACAGGCAGCTGCCAAAATAAATAAATAAATAAATGTGACATGTATTATAGTTGTACGATGTTTCATAGGTGTGAGTGTGTGTGTGTGTGTGTGTGAGTGTGTGTATGTTTCAAATTCCTGTTGTGGCATTCCTCAAACTGATCAAAATCACACCATGAATATCTCATAAGTGCCTTGTCTCTGATCAGATGTTCTTTTCATGTTTACTTTATTACTAAGATGTATCTTCTGAATAAACTATCTGATGATCAGATGGTTGGTAAGACCCTGGCTGAGAGAGGTTTCTCACACTGGCCACAAGTTTACACCACTATAGTTTGGATAATCTGATGTATAACAAAACACAAACCCCAAACAAAATATTTCCCACAGTTAACTGCATTTCTTACTCTGTGTTGCGGATTACCTGCTGTCTTCTGCAATGCATTCTCATTTCCCACTGTGACTACATGTGGATTCTCTGTTGTGACATAAGGCCAGAGCTCTGACAGGCATGTTTCCCACACTCACTGCACTTAAAAGGTTTCTCTTCAGTGTGGAGTCTCTGAAGTTTGGTAGATTACCTGCTGTCTTCTGCAATGCATTCTCATTTCCCACTGTGACTACATGTGGATTCTCTGTTGTGACATAAGGCCAGAGCTCTGACAGGCACGTTTCCCACACTCACTGCACTTAAAAGGTTTCTCTTCAGTGTGGAGTCTCTGAAGTTTGGTACAAACTGTGCTAAGAGGAAAGGTTTTGTAACACTCCTCCTCGCACGCATAGGGTCACTCTGCGTCGTCTTGTGTTGGGTAAGGTGTGACTTCTAATTGAATGCTTTCCCATAGTCAACATTTATATAGCTTTTCTGTGGTGTAAATTCTCTGATGTCTAATTAGGGGAGAAGCCTGCCTAAACAGTTTTCCACAGTGATCACATTTAAATCGTATCTCCCGATTGTACTTGATGTCGAGTAAGAACTGAGTTCAGACTAAAAGATTTCCTACATTCATTACACAAAAGGCTTCTCTCCAGTATGAATTCTCTAATTCATTATAAGGTGTGACTTCTGTTGGCATGATTTGCTGCACAGATTACATATGCAGGATTTCTTCATGCTGTGCATTTGATGTTTTCTAGAGGATGAAGTTCCACACTTAAAATTCTCACAGAGTATTTCTTTTCCCAGAATGCTGAAAAAACATTCTCAAAATTTTTGTTTCTATGGGCTCTTT